TAAATGGTTATGGTAGACTTAATTCAAGTGTTATTGAGACGGACTCTTTGCCTTTTCTGATTTGTCTGATATTGCTCCTCTCATAAAGGTTATGTTACAAGCATCTTATTAATGGGCAATACTGCTGGTTCTGTTTTTTTTTTTTTTTTTTTTTTTTTTTTTTTTTTTTTTTTTTTTTTGGGGGGGGGAGAGGGAGAAGAGGGGGGGGGGGGGTGTTGTTTTGTAGAAAAAGGCTACAAACTAATTGTGGAAGTTTTTTTTTTCTTTTTTTTTTCTCATTCTTAAGTCCACATTTTTCAGTCTTAAGACATGTAAGTGGAAGTACCAAAAGTTTTTTTTGAAGACATGAAAGAAGGCATTTAACAGCTGAATTGCTGGCATTGATAGGGGTATTAAGATTCTATTTGGATTGATTAAATGGCCATATGAGTATGTAGGAGATATCCTGAGAATTAGCTTACATGTTGTGATGTTGATGAGCTTGAAATTAGACATCTATGTTATACTATATTTATTCTTGGAATAAAAGTTGATCCACATCAAAGTTTAGTTTCTGTTTTAGAGAAGAACTACACAAATAAGCTACCAAGGAAGTTTATAATGAATATCGTGCAAAGTTGCAAACCATTATGCTGTACTGTTGCGACAGTTATGAAAATAAATTGGGGAGAGGAAATTAAATGACTCAACTTTATACAGCAGCCTAGTTGGAAGTCTGAGGCATTTTACCATGACTGAATATTGTCTTTGGAGTTGTTCATGTTAGTAGATATGTTGAGACACCTATTATATATCCTATTGAAGTGCTGCAAACAAGAATGGATGGTAAAAAAAAACATCTTAAATTATGGGATGATTTATGCTTATGGAGACAATTTAAGACTAGTTGGAAACTTTGATAATAAATGGGTCTCTGACCAAGATGAAAGAGAAAGTACTACTGAATGGACGTACACCTTTCATCTGGACTTTGAAAAACAGACAGTAGTGACTTGGTAACACCATCAACTTGTGAAGAGTTTTTAGCAGCTTCGACAACAATTGATGCATTTTGTTTGAGGAATCTTCTTCAAAAATTAGACTACATATTTTATTAATCAAATTAGCATAGAATTTAATGCATTATTGCAGAGTTTTTAAGCAACATTGGGGGGGGGGGGATGTTGTTTCATGCCTTTGGTGTCTACTAATTTTATTTTATTTTTTCTTTCTATTGGGCTGTCTTTTCTCTTGCATGGAGTAGACTGGGAGTACTTGATTGTAATACATCAACAAACCTATAAAGAATGCGATTGTACCAATAATCAGTGTTCTGAACTAGAACTTAGTCCAATGGAGTTGGATATGGGTGCCTGTGATCAGCAGATGGTTGAACCACATAATGCCTTTGCAGTAATGGAAATGAAAATTTACTAGCTTTTCATTCTTTCTAACCTAGCGTAATCTTTTGCTGACTTGTATAAGATATATCTTGGTGTTCTCTTATCTCCTTTTTCAAGTGCATATTAAGTTCTGAAACAGTTTATTTAGAATTGATCATAATTCTTAGATGTCATTAAAGATCTAATTTATGAAATTTCATCTATGATCAGAGCTGGCTATCTACTTTATCTGGTCGAGAGGGCAAAAAAGTGCTTAGATTTTTCTGCAACTATCTACATCATCCATCTCATCATTTGTGTTGTGTATGGTGGATGGCCTTCGTCATTTACGTGGTGGATTGTTAATATCGCTGGACTTGCAGTTATGGCATTACTTGGTGAATACTTGTGCATAAGACGTGAACTTCGGGAGATTCCTATTACTCGTTTACGTTCAAGTAAGCAAATAATCATTTTACACCTTGACATTTAATTTTTTTATTTCAAAACTCTAGTTTTCAGTGATCTGTAGCTGTATATTTTATTCTGTGTATATCTGTGATATACTCGTTATATCTTATATGGCTGCTTCAAAAAAATCCTTAACTTCTTAGCTCTTTTATTTTTCTTTCTAGCAAGTGCCAATGATGAACATATGAGAAGACAATACCAAATAGTGATTCAAATCAATTTTTTTAATGCTGTTTCCAAGGCTAGAATACACCTGCACCAAATGGGCTGATAGCAAACATCCTAAACTTAGCTTGTATATTCTGGCATCTTTGTGATTATTCTGTTATATATTATGATAATACCCTTATACTGGACCAGAATGCTTGTATGTTGAACCTTTGTTTCTGTACTCAAAATGTTGTTGTCTTACCTATGGAAAATCATTCCCCACTAGGTCAGTGACATGAGTAGTCTGGGCTTGAAAGACCTTAGGTCTGAGGCTTGGTCTGAATGCTCTGTCATTTGTTCGAGCTCCTTGTATCCCCCTATTGTCATTAATGTTTCAAGGTCTATAATGAGTTGTGTGTCTGGCTTGTAGATCCACTGGTTTAGGACTGTTTTGCAGTGGCTACTAGAGGAGGCAGCTGCAGACTGGAATTTGTAGGATTCACTTCATAACTTGTTGGGGGGTTTCAGGTGTTAATCGCATGTTATGGTCTTGATGGTACCATGAATTACCTTGTGATATATGCATGGGGTATGGTTTTTCTAGTCTTGATGGTATGTTGAATTACTTTGTGATATAGTCTGGTTTAGTGCGATTGGATAATAGTCTCATGTGGGATGAAGTTGGTAATTCAGATTAGGCAGATATTAAGCATTAGGTGAAGTTAGGGTGTTTCAGTTTGCAAAATGGTAAGACTTATGAAGATGATTGCTTTTTTCTTCATCTCTTGGGAGTTGTTTGGTTGATTGCTTTGCCTAATGGGATCAATTAGATGGGAAGTGTGTTTGGTATCAGTTTGTTGCTCTGTTCATGGTCGAAATGCATATAACTTGAAATTCGAAGTTGAGAGCATGTTATTCTTGTGCAATTGTTTTTCTTATTGACCGAAAATCCAAAATGAATCATATCCATAAACTGTGTTCTGATTTGACACTTTGCTTGTACAGATGTATGATTGATCGGAAAAACTTATGTGAGAGAAATTGTTATTCTTAACTTGGAATTGGTGGCTTTGCTCTCTAAGGCGCTTGTGGAGGAAACTTAAGTATATATAGATTATCAAGTTATATTTCACGAGGATGTATTGACTGGAGCGCTTTACACGGAGCTCTCATTGTTTTGGTTGATTCCACATGGGAGCAACACTTAGCAAGAGTTAAAGAGGTATTTTGAAACATAGAGCTTTTGCTGTTACTAGGTACGCATAGTTTTCCAAGAACTTGTAAAATCTCTAGGCATCTTCTCAAGAGGATCAATCAATTGTTCAGATTTCATTTAATCAAATCTCAATTAGATACCTTGGTTCATTGGTTGTCCATTGTTTTGTACCGTAATTTTTTTTCTTGACAATAGAAAATCTTTGGTGTTGCTGGCATAAACTCCTCCTGTACAACTTTTGGCTTTCTTTGTTTGTCTGTTTTTTTGTGCATGCATTCCTCTCTGCACACTTGCTTGCATTTATCCTTTTTGCAACTAGAATCACATTTATATGCTCTACTCATTTGCATTTCCGCCTCATTGAAGCTATTTCGGCTTTCAATTCAGTGTATCCTCCTTACGAAAGAGAGGACATTATTTTGAGACCAAGAACTCTATATTCTAACAATTACTGTACCAAATCTACAGAATTATCTATGTAAATAATCGAAGTGGAGCCATAAAAGAAGATAGAAGTGACATCTTAATTATCCATTTAGTTAGTATAGATAACAATTATTGAAATGCTATGTTCATTTCATTGTTCTTTGTGGGTGGAGACAATCATAGGTAAAATCTAGAAGCAAGTAAAAAGTAGCCAATTGTCTCAGTAATTGTTGCTGCCCTCTTAGCCATATCCATTTGTTTTCCATCTCCTTTTACACAAGTCTATAATACATTGATAGGACATAAAGAAGGTACACCCAAAGCAAAGTTTTGAAGTTCTCAAATCTATGTTCTAGAGCATGAACTTTGCCTTGTATGGACGCGAGTTGGTGTGAGGAAATTGTACCTTCCACGTTTAGGAGCTATAAGTATAAGGCCGATTTTGGCTTGTGTCAAGATATCGTGTGTTATGCAAACATCGCGTTTGGGTAGATTCCGCCGTAGAGATTGGTAAATAGTGTACATCTCATGAGTCCCTAAAAAGAAAGGGTTGAAAAGTAGTTTGCATTGGGCAAAATTCATAGATAAGTGCATTTATGTTAAGGTGTTAAGGATAAGAATGTTTCAACAATGGTGTTAAAGATGTGGTTGTTCATATTTTGAGCTTTTATCAATCATAGTGATAATTATTTATTATATTTTAAGCACTTTTACACTGTGAAATTAGTGAACTTTGAACTTTTTTAAGTAGTTATACATAAAATCATACACTTTTGACAAAGAGATAGATCAATTTTGGAGTGATTACTGCTACATCCTACTGTCAATGGTTGAGAGAGTCAACTCATCAAGTTGGAAGTTGAGCCCCATCACAAATATTGCATTTTACCAAAAGTATATTACAAACAAAGACTTCTATAGTTCTTATATCATATCAAAAATATTAGTGCTTTCTTTTTTTTTTTTTTTTTTTTTTTTGTGATTGATAAAGATTGACTCATCTTTAAGATGAGAAGGCAGTTTTCATGGTTTCTATTTATCAAAAAAAGAAACCAAAAATTTTGATTCTATTTTGAAAAAGTAGAAATGTGGTAGGGTTACCTAATCTATAATATGCTTATCACATTCATAAATTGGCTTAATGGTTTGTACTGTTGTTTCTTCTAATATTATTTTTCAGAATCTTGTTAATGGGGTATCCCATTTTGTGTCAAAGATCTGTACTAATCAGCCAAATTTATACACACATTTTTCTTCCCTTTTCTCCAACCTTTCATTAATATAAATTTGAAGCTTTTCTTTCTAATCAACATATTAATTATTCTTTTGATAAGGTTATATAAAATGAAAGCGAAAACGACAAAATGAAAGGAAAGAACATAAAAATAACGGTATTTGCCTACCGTCACTAGTTTTCACTATTATTAAATAGGTAATCACAGGGTATTTTGGCTATTTCGCGCAACTTTTCTTCCATTATTTTTTTCCGAAAGGACCAAGACCTACTTTAAAAAAAAAAAAAAAAAAAAAAAAAAAAAAGGCCTCAAAATCTCCTCCTTGAAAGAGCTGGAACTTGATGGTTCACATTAGTTACATTTATGGTACTGCTACAACTCTGCTAGACTAATTCTAACCTAAAATGATTCCAAATTATATTTTATGTCTACTTGAATTGTCTCTTGGAGGTTGGTTAAGGTTGAGCTTTCCATGATGAGGAAATATCAGCTATCGCTTCTCCGACTGTCAAGTAAAGCCCTTGTGTGCCAAAGGATTCTATGACTTTTGAAACGTGCAGTTTTTCCATGACATTTCCTGCTGGATTTGCTAGTACTAGTTGCAGTGACATTCTATCGAGCATCTTCCTGAGCTCGCCTAGCAGTTCAATCCCACTTGTATCTATAGCTGTCACGGCTGCATAAAAGAAATTGCAAATAGGTGAATTAGGTGGTGTACTTACGCGTATCATTCAGTGTAGGGTTGGTTGTCGGGTAAGGGTTGGTCTAGACAAACTCGACAATATATGTAACAAGAAAGTGACTGACAAATTTGTGAGATGTGCATAGTTCAAAATAGAGGGACATTATGTAGCAAACTTGAAAGTAGTTACTTGAGCTAAAGAAAAAACAGGGGATGCTAGATTTAAACTTACCACTCATGTCTAAGATTACGCATTTCATCACGCTGTCATTGTTAGCTTTGATTCGCTCTTCCTCCTCTCGAACCCATCCTAGTATTCTGTATCACAAGTTGTGTAAGTATAATTAAAATTTAAAATATCTATTTCTGAATACCATGAGATTAGGATAGTAATCGAACCTCTCCTGAAGATAGGTCGAGTTTGCAAAGTAGATAGGAGACTCAATAGCGAGGATGAGGAACGAAGGGATCCTCATTGCTTCTCTATATCTTCCTAGGCTTTGGTAAGTTTGAGTTCCGGGAATGTTTCCTAGAACATTTGTGTTTGGCCTAGTGACATGAAGCAAAATTTTGAACACCGAAATTCCTACCTGTAAAATGATTATTTCATCATATCATGAGGCTGTCATTCGCAGGACTTTATATGATCTTTTACTTAAAGAGTATGAAACAGATTGACTTACAGCAATAGCAAGTCCTAGAGGAACTGAAACAAAGAGGACGCCGAAGAAGGAGCATACACAAGCCAAGAAATCAAGTTTATCAACCTTCCACAAATGAATAGCAGCTTGGTAATCGATCAAACCAATGACTGCTGTGATGATGATAGCAGCTAAGATAACAGTCGGCGTGTAATGGAACAGAGGCATGAGGAACAGAAGAGTAATGAGGACTGCTGATGCCATGACTATGTTTGAGATCGCGGTTTTAGCTCCTGCATTATAGTTCACTGCAGACCTTGAAAATGATCCTGCAAATTATGATATGAAGAAATAATTAGCTAAACATCAGGGGAAAAAAAATATCATAAAATGTGTTCCTCAAGTAAAGATTATAGAATATGAGATTATTACCTGTTGTGACATAGCAAGAAGAGCAAGAACCCGCCATATTCATGAGACCAATCGCCATCATTTCTTTGTTACCATCAACTTGGTAGTTGTTAAGGGCTGCAAATGTTCTTCCAACAGCTATTCCTTCCTACAAATAAGAAAGGGGACGAAAGATATACATGTAAGTTTCGATCTTTTGCAAGAAAAGTACTTCGTATATTGTTGGACAAATGATTCATGATTGTAAATTAGTATGCAGAATGCTTACAGTGAGAGCAAGAATGCCGCTAACAAGGCCGGTTTTGATGGCAAGAACGAGATAAGAGCCACTGAAATAGAGCATGTTTGCTGAAGGTGGGTTGAGACCCTTAGGCAAGTGACCAATCTAGTATATGCAAAAGAACAGCATGATATTATTAGATATCTAAACAATGCCTTAAATTCTTCAAATGTACCATTATTTTTTATATATAATATGATGTAATTTATGTATGAAATCCAAGTATTTATATAATTTTCTTACAATTGGGATACGTTGAGGATTTGGCTTAATAGCGAACACCATGATTGTAGAGACGATAACTGATGTTAATGGTGCAGCTGCTGATAACCAGAACAACTTAGGCCTTTTGGCACTCTGGGTAAAAAATTAGAAAGAACAAAAAATGTGTCAATACATAGTATAAATCAAATAAAATTGTAAAAATACAACAACAAAAACAAAAGAAGAAAAACAATAGCAAAAGTGCTACTTACAATATGTCTTGCTGAAAGAAGAAAGAAAAGGAAGCATAAGCCCATTAAAATTGTTGGCCAAGCCCACTGCCATCCCAAAAATTAAAAAATTATCAATATCAACCCTATTCATAAATGCATTAATATTTTATTTTCGTTAACTACTCCATATAAAATTTTAAATAGAAATACTTATACTCGTAGGTTATACTCCGTACAAGACCTACGAGTACAAGTACAAATATACATCGATAAAAATGAGAAGGAATATATACGGAAAAACATAATCACGTAGAATACCTCGTCTTTGTACTTCAAAACAGAGGACAAAACAGGAATGATCTGCATTTGGTTAGTAAAGTGGACCATCCCAAGTAAACCCTTGAGCTGTTGCAATGACACTATGACTGCTGCCCCAGCCATAAATCCTATTAGGGTTGCTTTTGACAGAAAATCTATCACAAATCCCAACCTGCAATTAAACCCACAGATTTTTGAATTTATTACTTTCAACTACAAAATTACAAATTGCTACTTTAAATTTATTTATTTTTCACAATTTTTTTCAATTTTGGGTATATCTCTTTTTGTAATAGTCCAAATTCCTTTGGCTCTTTCTATTAATCATCCCACCGCTATATAATTCTTTATTTTGGGAACATGGAGTAATTCATTGCACTATCATCATTTAGTGTGGAAGAGTGTCTTAAATAATACGGAGTATGAAGTACGTACCGACATTGGATGGTGTCGATTGTCAACTAGTTTAGCTCATAATTCTAAAAAACTTTTACTTTTTTTTTTTAAGTAACATTACTTGTATTGTCTAAATAAATGACGTCACTTTTAAGTCAAGAGCTATCTTTCACGATATAAAACGGTTATTATAGTGATATTTTAAAACCGCTTATATACCATCACATATATATAAAAATTATGAAAAAATCAATTGAATTTTCTTACATACAATCACATTCAAATGTTAGTTAGTAAGTTATTTTTCATGTGTTATTATCTTATAATGATGTATTCTAAAATATTTACATTTTTTCTTATAATTTTTACAAATAGATTATAAACATACCAATTGTCAAAGTTGTATACATATTATGCCTAAAACAATTCACATGTAAGATCACATACATGATGCATAATGATGATTTTTTGCCATTAAATGTGTTTCAACTATTTTTTTTCCAACCCCACCCAAAAAAAAAGAATATTCTAAGAATATTCTTAAAAAAAAAAAAAAAAAAGGTGTTGAAACCCAAAAAAAAAGGAGAAAAAATAACAAACCTGAGAAAACCAAGAGCAGCTTGAAAAACACCAGCAAAAAAGGTAGAAGTAAAAGCAAGCTTAAGGTAAAGAATTGGTTCTTGAGTTGGAGAAACAACTTCACTTAGCATTGTTCCCATTACTAATGAAGCTATTGAAACTGGGCCCACTGCTAAATGCTTTGAACTCCCTAGTATTGAGTATATCAATGGCGGCACAAAGCTTGAATCTACAGCACGAACAATCCACGTATAAACAGGAAGTACTTTTAAAAACGGATGCAGTAAAGAAAAATTATTATGAATAGCTTACATAGGCCAATGATTGGTGGTAGGTTGGCTAGCTTTGCATAGCTGATTCCCTGCAATCCAAGTAATGAAGTAATGTAAGATTTTGTTCATTAAATTCTTTGACTAAGACTTCTCATTCAATATATCATTATAAAACAAAAATTTAAAATAAAAATAAAAATATAAGATCGGGCTACTTATAAGCATTAAATATCTTATGGATCACTGTATTGTAGTACTACGCATAAAGTTGGCCAGCTACTAAAATCGTGGATCATTCCATGAATTTAGATATTTACTATTTCTACTTAATTTTCATATACTCTACTCATTTATAATTCATAAATCGAGCAAAATATCATAATTTAAAAATATGAAGAAAAAAAAAACCAGAATTTTGTGCACTTTTATAACAAACTAATATAAGTTTTTTGCGCTCCTAACTTTGTTTTTCTGATAAAAATAAAATACCGACGTGTGTGGTGTCCGAACTAACGAAACAAAAAAAAAACATACCTGAGGGATGGCAAGGCTAGCAATGGTGAGGCCAGAAATAAGATCAGCCCTAAAAAGCTTAAGACTATAAGTGGGACCCCATTGAAAAACAGGGAATAAAAACTCAAGAGTAAGAATAAATTTCTTAAGCCATGTTTGGTTGTTGAATTTATGGAATGGATTATCAGGGAAGAATATATCAGAAACCCTGTGTTTTAGTTTTTGGAGAGTGCTTCTTTTTGGTGGCAAACAAACACGGTGTAATTGTGTTGGAGATGAAGGGTGGTTTGGTAATTGCACCACCATTGTTTGTGCTGTTGTATTATTAATATTGTTGTTGTGATTTGGGATGATATTGAGAGTTGTTTCAAAACAATGATTCTCATCTTCTACTCTATTTGAGTTTACTCCCATTTTTCTTTTTTAGAGTTTAGAAAAATGGGAAAATTATGAGGTTTTGATTAGAGGATAATTTGGAGAGAGTGTGTGTTTTGGGTTGAGTGAAATGAGAGGGGGATTGGAATTGGAATTTATAGGGGTGGGTGTTATAGGTGGTGAGAAGGGTATTTTGGTAAATTAATATTTTTAATTTTTTTTTAATTAAAAAAAATAATATTAAGGAATTGTTTGGAGAGTGTGTGTTTGAGCTAGAGTTGTAGGAATGATGAGGGGTGATGGGAATTGGAATTTATATGGGTGTTACGAGGAGAATTGGTGTATGTGTTGTAAAGGGTATTTTCGTAATTTAGCGTTTTACTTTTTTCTTTTTTTTTTCTTTTTTTTTTTTTGGAATACATTTCTTTCGAAAAAAAAAGGATGTTGTTAGTGGACCAATAAGGTATGTACATGAATTATACAACAAGGGTTTGAGCCATTTGACTAGAAGGTGTGAGTCATTTATGTTTCAATTTGGATCTATGTGCGTGTGTTGTGCTCATGGAGCTTGTAACACAATGGTTTTTTTTTTTTCTGATCATTTGCATGCTCTCTTGTGTATAAACACCAAATAATGGTTTGGAATCTACGGAATGTACCAAAAGAGTACCTTGTATTGTATGTAAATTGTAAATCTTACTTGAAAGTGTGAGATAGGCATGTTATTATGTTAGTATAGATGTGTCTTATTGGATCAATTGAATATGTTTACGGGGTGATTGGACACAGTATAATTATTTTTAAACTTAGATATAAGCATTTACAACTAGATTTAGTCTAATTGACTGAAGTTATAAGTACTTGATTTATGTATAAAGTGTGAGCATGTGTACGGAATAAAACTTTATAAATAAATGGATAATCCAAGTCATTCATATTGAAAAATATGGAGTAGTACTTTTCAATTTTCATGTCTCTGTTTTATATACAAATTTGAACAGAAAACTAAGTCTAAATTAATGAGAATTGATAACCAATTTCATCCCTTAAAATTAAGTAAGTCGAGTTGATTAACTATGCGATTTTTTTTTATCAAATCTAAAAGTAAATCAATGAACTTAACTCGAAGTTACTAAGAGAAACTCAACCCTGACCCAAGTCATACACGAATAAGTTGCTCGAACTTAATCTGATTGGATAAAAAAAATTAATGCATTACTACAATCCTACTTTGTATTACATACATAATTCTTGATATATTTGGTGAATAATCCAAAGTTGACACAAATAAACACAATTTGTTTATCTGAATGGTATATCTACTCATTATACTTAATTTTTTTTAAAACAATTTTGAATGAAGATGGAGAACAAGTTAAGATTCATTAAAAAGAAGTTTTAACAACAATTTTTAACAACTTATTATATTATTAGGAAGAATTTTTATCTTTCAAAAATTTACCCTCAAAATAGGCAAATGAGTAGATAAAAAAAAAACAAAAAAAAAAAAAAAAATCAATCACGTAGTACTATACTATAGCCCTGTCATTCGAAAACCAAAATAAAGACAATTTTCAGCATATTCCATTTACGTACATGTTTTTCTCGATTAGCTATACATTGAACATGAACTCCTACTTATAATCGGTGAAAGCTGTTGCATTATTAAGATCTCCATCAACAAATTAAGTCTTAGATTTGACTTTTGTGGTCAAATTATATTAATTAAATAAATCATAAACTTTTGTCATCAACCATACATTAGAATTATAAATCTATATATAAACTATGATGAAAATATAACTTTATCTCCCACGTTGAGTATTTCACGAAATTATTAATATATATACGATAAAATGAACAAATGTGGTTTTAATTAATTATAGATTGTGCTTTATATTTATATGCCGACCTCCATATTAGTGTTGTAATTGATTTTCGCATTATGTTATATAATATTAAGACAATAATATGATAATTTTATTCACCAACTTTTATATGTGACTGGCCACATAATGGAAGTTACTTCATTAGTGTTATAGCGTTACATAGGTTATTTGCATGATCAATAGCGTTATATTGGTTACTCGGTCATTGTTATATGAATTACGGAGTATTTTGTTTTTTTACATGCAGGACAAAATATAACCAATTGCATACAAAAGAGGATTGTTATATACACTCAAGTGCGCGGTGCATCCAAGGATTTGTTTGCTCATTTGAACATAAAATGAATGATAATAATCAAAACAATACCCTTGGATGTACGAATATATGGGGCATGTTCGGCAAAATATAGCTGTGAAGGTAGCTGTAGCTGTGGAGGTAGCTGTGAGCTGTGTATGTAGCTGTTAGCTGTTAACAAGTTGTTAGCTGTGAAGATAAATAATTTACATATGAGTGTTCGGTTTTAGCGGTTGACTAGCTGTTATATATAAAAATCATCATTTTATTTTTAAAACTATAGATTAAATTTTCAACAGCTACCTTAAAAGCTACCTCCAATTTCAAAAGTTAATCTTCCTAACTTTTTATAAAAGCTATCTTAACTACTGCTTTGTCAAACACCCACATTTTTTGTCAACTACTGATTTGACTTGGTCAAACCACTAAAAGGTACCTAAAAACTACTCAAAAGCTAGCGCCGAACACGCCCATGGTACACCAAGATCTACATAACAATTTCTACGCACAAAACACCCTGATAAACTTTATTTTGCCCTTACCGTAAAATAAGTTGAAAAAGAATAATTATTATTTGTATTAGATAATATAAGTTGAAATAAACTTGGTTCGCGTTTACATATAAAGCTTAATTGTTTTCCTCCAACTTACACCGAAAAATAAGAATCTATCCCATCAAAATTAAGAATCCAATACATATTGATCACTTTTAACCAGCTTAAAAATGTGAGTGCATAAGATTCTAACCTTCCAAAAGAACGAAATTATCAATGACTTTTCACACTTCACGTTTACTCTTTGTTCTTTTGCAAACTGTCTTATAGTTTATTCCTTCAATAGTCCTAACTCTTTTTCTTTTTAATTTTTTTTTTCAAAAAAAAAAAAAAAAAAAAAAAAAACTGTTTCTCTTTTTTCTTAATTTTTTTTTAAATGTTTAACAACAATTTTTATATCCCTTCTTTTAAACAAGAGATTCTTTGAATTTCCTTAATTGTGAGCTTGACTTTTGTTTAATTTGCTTTCGGTTATGATTCTCTTACTAATAATTAATTCCGTTCATATATTTATGCCAAATATGTTTTAATGTTTTATAAAAATTAAAAAAAAAAATAATGGAAGAATTTCTGAAGGGGAGATATTTTTCTCTAAAAATCAAATCAAACATATGCATGGTAAAGTTACTTATGTTTTTTGTATTATTGTAAAAGGTTTGGGTTGAATTTTTATATGTAGTATGATATAAGAGTGTGCATGATATGCACGTAACTTGTTATCATGATAATAACAAGTGTACCGTATAATTCATAAAGCTAAGTTTAATGAAGTAAACCTAATTAATTTAAGAGTTCGAAAATTGATACGAGTAATATTATTCTATATAGGAAATATCCTAACATTCATAAGCATTAATATATATATATATATATCAATTAACCTATACTAAACGAACCTAAAGTGACACTTGTCATGATGTCATTAAAAAATTTCCCGCCTTTTATTTTCTTTCTTTATTTATTTTTTTTGCCAAATTTGAATGACTTTCAATTTTTAACCTACAATAATACTTATTTCCATTTTTACAGCACATTTAATTCAATCATACTCAATTAATTTTTTATTATTATTTTTTTAGCATATATTTTATATACAAGGAATCTTTTAGTTAAAAATTATAGTAACATAGATTAAAATTAAGGTACTCAATTACTTCGTATATCATTATCCAAGATTATTATAATATTATCAATTTTTTTTCCTCCAACTTAAAATTGATTTTAATTAAAAATAGAAAAAAAAATATTTTGGTAGCATACTTTGTATAAATCTTAAAATTATGCATAAAGTTTATAAGAACACTTAACAAAATCTATAAATAAACTAAAGGAACAACCGCTGACATCATATTGTCCACGTGGTAGCTTTATAGTAAAAAATTTCCCGCCTAAATAAAAATCTGAGGTCATTGAATTTTCTTTGGTTTTAAATTTCAAATTTAACTTCTCCTCCACTCAATTTATCCACTCTTTAATTTATTTATTTTTCTTCTATCACCAACTAATGGTATCTAATTCATCTTTCCCTTATGCTACATTGAACAAAATACTCTAATGTATATATTTTTTCTATTTTTCTTTATATATTACAAGTTTAAAATCATTTTTTATTTGCTTAATTAAAATTGTATATTAAAAATCTAACTTTTATGTATATGCTTGAATTTTCATATTTTGTTTGTTCTTCTTCAAAATTAATTTTATAAAATTAGCATTTACAACTAATGGTTAAGTCTCAATTAATTTTCTGATACGTAAGAATACATAAAATATATACTCTATATTTAAAAAAGATCTATGCATCGCACGGGACTAATCTAGTTATTTTATTATATTATACTCCTCCCTTTTTTTTATATGTTATAGTTAGATTTGCACATTTGTCGAGACACAACTTTAAACATCAATATCCTTAATTAAAGACTATTTTGTTACAAATATTTTTTTTGGTAAATTATTGTTAAATTAACATCATTCTTTATAATTTTTGTTATAAAGTTCAATTATTACCGTGCATGGCACGGGACTTAACATATATATATATATATATATATATATATATATATATATATATATATATATATATATATATATATATGTTTATACATATATATGTATATATATATAATTATTTAATTTCAAAATTAAGAGCAAAATCGGTATTGTGTTTTGAGTATAGTTGTGAGTTGAACTTTGATAACCCTTTAAAAATCTTATCATAACTTATTTGAACTTATATTTTCAAAATTTAAATTATATTAATGCATAAAAGTAAGTGAATATAAATTATTTTGATTGTAA